CATGGGGACGGTCAGGGACAGGGAGACACCGCAGGGACTGTCCCTTCCTGTCACCCTTCCTGAGGGCACATGGGTCTGAGTCCCCAGTGCCACCCCCAGTCCCCAGTGCCACCCCCAGTCCCCAGTGCCATCCTGCTGTCCCCAGGCTGACCTGGCTGTCCCCAGTGTCCCCAGTCTGACCTGGGTGTGCCCAGTGCCACCCCAGTGTCCCTGCTACCCCCAGACTGACCTGGCTGTCCCCTGGCTATCCCCAGTGCCACTCCAGTGTCCCCAGTGTCCCCAGTCTGACCGGGCTGTCCCCAGTGCCACCCCAATGTCCCCAGTGCCACCCCAGTGTCCCCAATGTCCCCAGTGCCACCCCAGTGTCCCCAGTGTCCGACCTGGCCGTGCCCCCCTTGCGCGGGCGGTGCCGGGGGGGCTCTGCCGGCCCCTCCTCATCGGTGGCCACGATGTAATCGTAGAGACCCCGGTTAAACTGGGCAATGACGTGGCACCTGTGGGACAGGGACAGCTCAGTGCCACCTGGGACAGGGACAGCTCAGTGCCACCAGGGACATCCCCAGTGTCACCAGGCATGCGGGACAAGGACAGGAATTGAGAGCACAAACAAGAATTCCCACAAACCCCACCCCACAAACCCCACCCCACAAACCCCACCCCATAAACCCCACCACACTCACCAGGACCTCACAGGCAGCAGCAGGTTGAATTCAAACGGGAATTCCCATCCCATCCCATAATTCCCAGCCCGTTGGGAACTGAGGGCACAAATGGGAATTCCCATCCCACCCCATAACTCCCACCCCATTATCTCCCCCCTCAGAAACCACTAGGATCAGGTGAAAACCCAGGAATTTAGGACTCAAACAGGACTTCCCATAAGCCCCACCCCGTAAATCCCACCAGAACTCACTGGGATCTCACAGGCAGCATCAGGTTGAGGACAAAACCAGGAAATCCCATAAACCCCACCCCATAAACCCCATAAATCCCCTAGGACCCACCAGGAGCAGGCAGGCAGCTGTGGCTTGAGGACACAAACGAGAATTCTCACCCCATAAATCCCACCCCATTCTTTCCTCTCAGAAACCACTGGGATCATGTGAAAACCCAGGAATTTCGGACTCACAAGGCAATTCCCACAAACCCCACCCCACAAACCCACCAGGACTCACCGTGACCGGGCAGGCAGCTGTGGGTTGAGGGCACAGGCAGCGATCCCAAACTGCTCCAGGAAGAGTTTGACCCTAAAAGCCCGAGCCAGGCTGCCCACGAAGAGCAGGGCCCGGCCCCGCAGCAGCCGCAGCTTCAGCAGCGCCGCCAGCAGCAGGAACTTGTCCTCCTCTGTGGCACAGCACAGCTGGAACTGCTGCAGCTGGGAACTGCCCGGGAGACGGGGCTCGGGGGGGAGAACCTGCACCTGGAATGGGGATTTGGGGTTAAAATCCCAAAATTGGACATTGAGGAACTGCTGCAGCTGGGAACTGCCTGGGAGACGGGGCTCGGGGGGGAGAACCTGCACCTGGAATGGGGATTTGGGGTTAAAATCCCAAAATTGGACATTGAGGAACTGCTGCAGCTGGGAACTGCCTGGGAGACGGGGCTCAGGGGGGAGAACCTGCCCCTGGAATGGGGATTTGCAGTTAAAATCCCAAAATGGGCATTGGGGAACTCCTGGAAATGGGAACTGCCCAGCAAACGGGGCTCTGGGGGGAGAACCTGCACCTGGAATGGGGATTTGGGGTTAAAATCCCAAAATTGGACATTGAGGAACTGCTGCAGCTGGGAACTGCCCGGGAGACGGGGCTCGGGGGGCAGGACATGAACCTGGAATGGGGATTTGGGGTTAAAATCCCAAAATTGGGCACTGGGGAACTGCTGCAGCTGGGAACTGCCCGGCAAACGGGGCTCGGGGGGCAGGACATGAACCTGGAACGGGGATTTGGGGTTAAAATCCCAAAATTGGGCACTGCGGAACTGCCAAATCCCAAAATGGGCACTGGGGAACTGCCAAATCCCAAATTGGGCATTGAGGAACTGCTGGAAATGGGAACTGCCTGGCAAACAGGGCTCGGGGGGCAGGACCTGCACCTGGAATGGGGATTTGGGGTTAAAATCCCAAAATTGGGCACTGGGGAACTGCTGGAAATGGGAACTGCCCGGGAGACGGGGCTCGGGGGGCAGGACATGAACCTGGAATTGGGATTTGGGGTTAAAATCCCAAAATTGGGCACTGGGGAACTGCTGGAAATGGGAACTGCCCAGCAAATGGGGCTCTGGGGGCAGGACCTGCACCTGGAATTGGGGATTTGGGGTTAAAATCCCAAAACGGCCATTGGGGAACTGGAATTCCCAGGGTTGGGAAATGGGGGATGGTGTTCCCAAATCCCGGTGTTTTCCATCTCTGTGCCCACTGCAGAACCCCCAAACCTCACTCCAGACCCCCCAAAATGCCCCAAATGCCCCAGATTTCTCACGGGGTTGTGCAGCACCAGCTCCTGCAGCGCCTCCAGCTCGGGGTTCAGGGTGGCCGACACCAGCAGGGCCTGGTAGATCTTGGGCAGGTGGCTGGGGGGGCACGGGGGGTCAGGGGCACCCCAAAACCCCCCCCAGGCACCCCAAAATCCCTCTGAGTGCCCCAGAATCGCTCAGAACCCCCATAACCCTTCAGTGCCCCACAAAACCTTAAAGACCCAAAACTCCAGCGCCCCCTAAAACCTCTCAGGGAACCCCAAAATGTCAAAGACCCACCCATGTCCCTCCCGTTGTCCCATTCATGTCCCCCTGACTGTCCCTGTGTCCCACCCTGGACCCCTGCACTGTCCCTCCATGTCCCCTTGGTTTCCCCCCCCATGTCTCCCTGGTGTCCCCTGCCTGTCCCTGGTGTCCCCTCCCATTGTCCCCCCTACTGTCCCTGTGTCCCCCCCGTACTCCCACATTGTCCCTCCCTGTCCCTCCAGTGTCCCCCCCACTGTCCCACCTGGCTGTCCCCTGGGTGTCCCCTCCCATTGTCACCTCCACTGTTCCCCCTGGTTGTCCCCTCGCTGTCTCCCCAGGTGTCCCCCCAGTATCCCCTCCTTGTCCCCTGGTGTCCTTCTCTGTGTCCCCTCCCTGTCCCCCTCTGTCCTTCTCTGTGTGCCCCCATGTCCCCTGGCGTCCCCTAGGTGTCCCCCCAGAATCCCCTCCTTGTCCCCCCATGTCTTTCTCTGTGTCCCCCCATGTCCCCTGGGTGTCCCCTCCTTGTCCCCCGGTGTCCTTCTCTGTGTCCCCTGCCTGTCCCCCCGTGTCCTTCTCTGTGTCCCCCCACGTCCCCTGGCTGTCCCCCGTGTGTCCCCACCAGAGCAGGGCGCGGATGTCGTCCCCGAAGCCGAAGGACAGCAGCAGATCGGCCTCGTCCAGCACCAGCACCTCCAGCCAGGGCCGCAGTGCCAGGCTGTGCCCGGCCACGTGTGCCAGGACACGGCCCGGGGTGCCCACCACGATGTCCGGCTGCTCCATCAGCACTGGCCTGGGGACATCCAGGGGTCAGGGACACCCAGAGAGGGGTCAGGGACATTGAGGGGACACCCAGGGCATTGAGGGGACACCCAGAGAGGGGTCAGGGTCAGGCTGTGCCCGGCCAGGTGTGCCAGGACACGGCCAGGTGTGCCCACCACAGCCTGGGGACACAGGAGGGCAGCTCAGGGACACCAGGGTGTGGCTGGGGACACCAGGGGGTGACTGACCGCTGGTCAGCGAGGTCCGAGTGGCCGCAGAGCTCGGCCACGCGCAGCTGGCGGGCGCAGAAGGCGGCCAGGCGGCGCAGGGTCTGCCCCACCTGCCGTGCCAGCTCCGCCGAGGGCACCAGCACCAGCGCCCGCACGGCCTGGGGCACGGCTGGGGACGCCTGGGGACACACAGAGGACACTGGGGTCACTGGGGGCACGGGGACATCAGCCCTGCCCCGCCCAGGGCACCGCTGGGGACACGTGGGGGACAGCAGGGTCAGCCCCAGTGGCCTCCAGTACACCCTGGTGCCTCCCAGTATGCCCCAGTGCCCACATCCCCCCCGGTGCCCCCAATCCCCCAGTTCCCCCAGTGCCCCCCAGTATGCCCAGTACCTCTTTGATGCCCAGCAGTTTGTGCAGCACGGGCAGACCCAGTTCCCCCAGTACATCCCAGTACCCCCAGTACCTCTTTGATGCTCAGCAGTTTGTGCAGCACGGGCAGCCCGTACGCTCCCGTTTTCCCCGAGCCCGTCCTGGCCCGGGCCAGCAGGTCCCGGCCCTCCATGGCCAGCGGGATGGCGCGGGCCTGGATGGCCGTGGGCACTGCCCAGCCCAGCTCCGCCACCGCCTGCGGGCACAGCGATGGCTGTCACCATGGGGACAGCGCCATGGTGACAGTCCCAGTCTCCGGTGTCCCCTTATGGACACACCCTCCCCATGGGTACAATCCCCAGTGTCCCTCCACTCCAGGGGACTCCGGTGTCCCCTCAGGCCCCCCACCCCTGAAGGGACACCAGTGTCCCCGTGCCCTCAGAGGGTCCCAGAGCGACCCCACAACCCCCGCGTCCCCATCCCTTCTGCCCCCAAACCGCCCCGATCCCTCCCCTCAGAGGAACCCCTCACCCCTCCCGGCACCCCGGCGATCTCTGCCCTCCAATCCCCCGCTCTCCCCGGCCGAAGCCCTCCCGGCCCCGTTCCCGCTCACCCTCAGCAGCCGCCCGTCCAGCCCCATGTGCTCGAATCCCTTCGCTTCCATTTCTGCCGCCATCTTGGCCCCACCGCGCACGCACTTCCGGCCGCGAGGCCCCGCCCACCGACTTCCGGTGGCGCGCCCAGAGCGCCGCCAGCGCGGCTGAGAGCGCCCCCTGGCGGTGGAGGACTGACAGCACCCCCGACACCTCAAAAATCCAACCCGGGGTGGATTTTTGGGTTGAAAACGCCCGGTTTTGGGCAGCAGCTGAATGCTTGGAGCGCCACGACTCCCTCCCCACCCCAAAAACGCACCGACAACTCTTGGTGGAACAAAAAAACCTTTATTTCCCCCCCAAAAAAACCACCTTGGGGGGTGGCCCTTCTCTGCTCCCGCCATGGCAGGCAGGGCACCCCAAAATCCGCAGGGAGCACCCCAGGGTGGGTGGGATGGGTTTGGGGTCCCAAAAGGGATCCAGGATGGGGGTGGGTTTTGGGGTACTCCCCGGGGTGAGGGTGGATTTTGGGGTGCCCCCCGAGGGGGTTTTGGGGGACTAGACGAGTTTCTTGGCCTCGAAGAAGCTCTTGAGGTGCCGCATCTGCCAGAGGCCGGTGAGGATGAGGATGACGGTCTGGGCGATGGACCACCAGAGCACGCGCTGGTTGGTGCTCTCGCTCGTCATGCGGAACCGCTCCTCCCGGTACTGAGGGGGAAAACCCCAAAGATTCACCCGAAAATCTCATAAATCCACACCAAAATCCCATAAATTCACCCCAAAGCTGCAGGTTCACCCCAAACCCCCATAAATCCACCCCAAAACCCCACAGATTCACACCAAAACCCAGTGGATTGACCCCAAATCCCCGTGGATTCACATCAAACCCCATGGATTCACCCCAAAACCCCCCAAAGCCCCCTGGTGACCCCAAAGCCCACGGTTTGACCCCGAAAGGTGCCCACTGACCCTCTGGTAGTTCTGCTCCTTCTGGATCTGCTCCACCTGGTCGAGCAGCTGGCGCGCACGGAGCTGCAGCTCCGTCAGCTTGTCCTTGGCAGCGATCTCGGGGTAGTTGTTGGTGTGCTCGCCCACCTGGATGTCCAGGTGCACCCGCTGCAGGACAGGACATGGGCTGGCACCGGGGCTGGCACCAACCATAGCAACAACCATGAATCCAGTAATGGCACCAACCATGGCAAGCTGGAGCTGTGGTGTCAACCATGGCTACAAGCACGGCTCCCAAACATGGCAAACATGGCATCGGTAATGGCGCCAAACATGGCACCAATCATGGGTCCGACCAAGGCGCCAAAAATGGCTCCAGCCATGGCTCCAGCCATGGATCCAGCAATGGATCCAACCATGGCACCAAACACGGATCCAACCATGGCTGCAACGATGGCTCCAACCATGGCTCCAACCATGGATTCAGCCATGGATCCAACCACGGCACCAGTAATGACATCAACCATGGCTCCAACCATGGCTCCAACCATGGCACCAACCATGGATTCAGCCATGGATCCAACCATGGCTCCAACCACGGATCTAGCCATGGATCCAAGCATGGCACCAACCATGGATCCAGCCATAGATCCAACCATGGCACCAACCATGGTCCAAGCATGGCACCAAACATATCTCCAGCCATGGCACCAACCATAGCTCCACCATGGCACCAGCACTGCACAGCCACAGGGAGGGCACACAGCTGTCACCAGCACTGGCACTAGGGCTGGCATGGCCTTGGGGAGAGCACCAGCACTGGCACATCCCCAGGGCTGGCATGGGCTGTGGGCACAGGGCTATCCCCAGGGCCATCCCCAAGGGTGTCCCAGGGCCGTGCCAGGCTGTTCCAGGGCATTATTACCAGCTTGCCCCCGGCGAACAGCGCCATGCGGGTGGAGTTGGAGTGCAGGCAGATCTGGTGCTCGCCCGGCGTGTGCGACGTGAACGTGAAGCGCCCCTCGGAGCCGTACTGCCGCGACATCACCACCTGCGCCAACGGGGACAGCGTCAGGGCCATGGGCACCAGGGCACTGCCACCAACACCCCCAGGGCACTGGGGTATGGCCACAAGCACCACTTGTGCCAACGTGGGGACAGCGTCAGGGCCATGGGCATGGTCATTGACACCACCTGTGCCAACGGGGACAGCATTAGGACCACGGGCACAGCCACTGGCATCCCGTGGGGACACTGTCACTGCCCTGGGCACTGGGGCACAGCCTGGGGATTGCCCAAACCCCACCCAGGAGCCCCTCCCCGTGCCCGGAGGGGTGCCCACACCCCCTCATGGTCCCCTCCCCATGCATAGGGACCCCTCCCCGTGCCCAGGGGGGCACCCAAATCCCCTCATGGACCCCTCCCCATGCCCAAGGGATGCCCAGGAACCCCTCCCCGTGCCCACGAGGTGCCCAAACCCCCCATACCTTTCCGTCGGGGTCCTTGACCTCCACGTGCATGCCCAGCCCGGGGGTGGAGGGCAGGAAGGACTCGGACTGTTTGTCCCACAGCTGCGTCCGGTAATTGCCTGGCACCGAGCGAGCACAGGGGCTCAGAGCCGACCCCCGTGCCCGGTGGGCTCTGATCCCCCCCGAGCCCCTCAGTGGTTCCTCCCGCTCCCCGTGAATCCCCCCGGTGGTCTCTCCCGCTCCCCCCCGCCATTCCCAGTGGTCTCTCCCGTTCCCCCCTCACGCCCCCCGCCATTCCCGGTGCTCCCCGCCACCGCCCGCACCGATGACCATGGTCTCATCGGGGATCTCCTCGATGAAGCAGCGCTTCTCGGTCTCTCCGATGTGGAAGTAGAGCCCGTGCGCGCCCCAGCCCAGCAACAGCACTGCGGCCACGGTCGCCCTCAGCGCTTCCCACGGCGCCGCCATGGTCCCTCCTGCCCTCCCACCGGGGGCGCTCTACGCATGCGCCAGCTCCTCACCCTGCTCACCTCGCATGCGCCGCACCCTCAGCGCACGCGCAGTGCTGCCCTCGGCGCCCTGTTAGCGCCTTGCGGCTTCGCGCCTCGCTTTACGCATGCGCAACACCCACGGCCACTCAGCGCTCCCCACGCCACCCCTGCGCGCTTCCCACCGCTCCCGCAGCGCGCATGCGCGCTGCGCAGCGCAGCGGGGAGGGCGCCGCTCTCTCGTTGCGGAGATCATGAGTTCGAGCCCCGCCACAGCCATCGCGGGGGTCTCCGTGTCCCCATGCGTGTCGCGCTGTCACCTCCCAACCCCCGGCATGTGTCCCCTCGGTTGTCACCCCGTGGGGGTGCTGAGCAATGGCGGGGGCGGGGCGCGCCCTTCTCAGGAGTGTGGCAACACCACCGGCAACTTTCTTCCTTCCTTCCTCCCTTCCTCTCCGCCGCCAGCAGCGCCCGGAGCCGGGGGTCCCACTGGAACCGGGGGTAGCACCGGAGCCGGGGGTCTCAGAGAGCCGGGGGTGTCACAGCGGAGGCAGGGGAGTCACAGGAGCCGGGGGTCCCAGAGGAGCCGGGGGTCCCAGCGGAACCGGGGGTCCTACAGGAGCCGGGGGTCCTACAGGAGCCGGGGGTCGCACCGGAGCCGAGTTTGCACCGGAGCCGGGGTCTCAGCAGAACCGGGGGTCCCATGGGTGAGCGCTGCCCGGGGACCCCGCGCACGGCCCGGAGGGGACACGGAGCGCCTGGCACGGCCGGTGCCCCCGGGAGGGGTCCCCAAGGCTCGGGGGGCGCGGGCAGGGGGCGCGGGGCTCTCCGGGTGGCCGCCCTCAGCCTCGCCCTCCTCTTCCTCCGCGCAGAGGCCGAAGGCTTCGCCCTCTGCCACGCGCCCGCGCTGCAGACCAAGGTGTTCCAGTACCGGTAAGGGACAGCCCGGGGGTGGCGGGGGACAGCGGGGGCGGCACGGGACGGGGGTGACACCGAACGGTGGCACCGCTGTCCCCGCTTTGCCCGCCAGGCTGTGGGACGTGAACCAGAGGTCGCTGTACCTGCGCGATGACCAGCTGGTGGCCGGGCACCTGCAGGGCGCCAACGCCGCGCTGGAAGGTGACACGGGGACACGCGCGGGGACACGCGCGGGGACGGGCGTGGGGACACGCGCTGAGGGTCCCCGTGTCACCCACCCGCAGAGAAAGTGTTCTGGGTGCCCAACCGCGCCCTGGAGCCCGCCCGGCTGCCGGTGATCCTGAGCGTCCGGCACGGCTCCCGCTGCCTCCGCACCGAGCGCGGCCCCGCCGGAGAACCCCGGCTGCGGCTGCAGGTGGGGACGGCGAGGGGACAGCACAGGGGACAGGGAGGGGACAGCCAGGGGACAGTGCGGGGGAGAGTGGTAATAGCGAGGGGACAGCGTGGGGACAGCGGGGACAGCGAGGGGACAGTGAGGGGATAACGGGGATAGCGTGGGGACAACGAGGGGACAGGGACGGGCATGCCAAGGGGATGGGGACATCACACGAATGGGGATGGGGACACCGTGGGAATGAGGACAGCAGAGGGATGGTGACATCAAAGGGATGAGGACATCACGGGGATGGGGATGCCAAGAGAATGGTGACATCAAAGGGTTGGGGACACCTAAAGAGATGGGGACACCGTGGGGGTGGTGATGAGGATGGGGACACAAAAGTTTTGGGGATGGGACACCGTGGGGAGGGGACGCCTGGGGACACGGGGATGGGACATTGTGGGACGGGGACATCGCAGGCCGTGCCCGTGTCGCACCACGGCGCTGGCACACGGTGCCCGCGGTGCCCGGGCGCTGTCCCCGCGGGTGACACGGGGGTGTCACCGCAGGACGTGGACATCCGGGAGCTGCCCCGCGCCGGTGACAGCGCGGCCGCCTTCACCTTCTTCCGCTCCTACCGGGACGGGCTGTGGCGCTTCGAGTCGGCCGCGCACCCCGGCTGGTTCCTGTGCACGTCCCCGCGCGGCCACCAGCCCCTGGCGCTCTGTCGCCACTGCGATGTCACCTCCCACCTGCTCGACTTCTACTTCCAGCTCTGCTGAGGGCCCCCGGCCCCCGCGCGGGGACAGCGGGGCCCCCAAGGCGGTGGCGCCATCCTAGGGAGGGTGGCATCACCCCCAGGATGGGGACATCCCTCTGGGGAGGTGACATCCCCCCTGCGGATGGTGCCATCCCCCTGCGGATGGTGACATCCCCCCCCCAGGATGGCGACATCCTCACGCAGGGAGGGTGACATCCTCGCTCTTCGGTGACATCTTCCCCAGGACGGTGACATCCATCCGGGACCGTGCCATCCCCCCTTCTCCGGGGCGTGCTATCCCCTTGGGGACAGTGCCATCCCCCTGGGGACAGCGACAGCCGCCCCCGCGGCGCGGTGCCATCCCCCTGGGGACAGCCACATCCCCCTGGGGACAGCCACAGCCACATCCTCCCCGAGCTCCGGTGCGGGAATAAAGAGATGCCGAGGCCAGCGGTGCCCGAGTGTGGGTGACACACGGGTGGTGGCACACGGGTGGCACGGCGGGGACAGGGCGGGGCTGGTGGCCCCGCTGGATGTGTCACCGCGGCGGAGTGGCCGCTCTTGCGCCACCCGCGCGATGGGGACAGAACGGGACGTCCCCAACGGGCGGGGGTGACGCGGCCCCTTCCCGGATCCCGCGGGGCCGCCCGGGGACAGCGCGGGGACAGCGCGACACGGGGGACACGGGGGACACGGGGGACAGGGGGCACACGGGGTGTGGGGACAGCGAGCGGGGGACAGCAGGGACAGGGCAGGTGGGACTTTGGGGACAGGGAACATGGAGACCGTGGGGACAGGGGAGGTGGGACCATGGGGACAGGGAGTGGGGGACAACAGGGACAGGGGATGTGGCACTTTGGGGACAGATCACCATGGGGACGGGGCACATGGGGATGTGGGGACAGGGAATGGGGGACAACAGAGAGAAGGGACGTGGGATTTTGGGGACAGGACACAGGGACACTGTGGGGACAGGGGAGGTGGGACCATGGGGACAGGTCCCCAAGGGGACAGGGCACGTGGGATCCTGGGGACAGGGAGTGGGGGACAGCAGGGACAGGGAAGGTGGCATTTTGGTGACAGGTCACCAAGGGGACAGGACACATGGGATCATGGGGACAAGGCACACAAGACCTTGGGGACAGGGCACACAGGGCCTTGGGGACAAGGGACCACAGGGATGGGACACTGGGGACAGGGCACATGGGAGTTTGGGGACGGTGCTCACAGCACCTTGGGGACAGCAGTCATGGTGACAATGGTGACAAGGTGATGGCACCATGGGACAGGGGACACAGCACAGGGGACGGCACAGGGGACATCCCCGCCACGGTGACCGCAGGCATCACTGGGGACACCGGCAGCAGGTGGCATTTTGCCATCGCTCGGTGTCACCGTCACCTCCCCTGCCAATTACCAGGGCGGGCTCTGTCCCCGCCCCGTCCGGCTCGATAAAGCCACTGTCACCCGTGGGGACACGGCCCAGAGACACGGGACAGGATCCCGGGAGGTGACACAGCCACAGGTGCTGCTCCGGGGACAGGGACAAGCTCGGGGACAATCCTGCTGGCACGCGGTGCCACCTGTGCCACCTGTGCCACCATCTCCACAGGCCCAGCCATGTCACGCGCATCCAGAGCTGCCCTTAGGTGAGTGGGGACAGTGTGGGGACAGTGTGGGGATGGCATAGGGACATCGTGGGGACAACGTAGGGACAGCGTTGTCCCCTGCCTTGTGCCAGGGAGTGTCACCTCTCCCCCTCCCCGGTGTCACCTGCCCTGACCCCTCTGTCCCCGCAGAAGGACACCCCAGGGACACCGCCTGGGGGTCATGGCGGGGAGCTGGGACACGGTCGAGGGTGTCATCGACCCCGACATGGTGGCCTTGTTCGATGACTTCCTGGGGACAGGTGAGTGCAGGTGTCCCCGTGTCCCTGTCCCTGTGTCCATGTCCCCTGTCCCTGTGTCCCTGTGATGTCCTCTTGTGCCACATCCTCTGGGTGTCCCCTCTGTGTCCCCACATCCCCATTTCCCTGTGATGTCCCCATGTCCCACACCTCTGTGTCCCCATGTCCCCACATCCCCATGCCCCCATATCCTTGTGGTGCCCCCACCAGGCATGTCCCACCTCTCTGTCCCCATGTCCCACCTATCTGTCCCCATGTCCCATGTCCCACCTGTCTGTGCCCATGTCCCCATGTGCCCACCTGTCTGTCCCCATGTCCCTGTGCTGTCCCCATGTCCCACATCCCCACTTGTCCGTCCCCGTGTCCCATGTCCTTACCCATCCGTCCCCATGTCCCCCCGTCTGTCCTGCTGTCCCCATGTCCCCGTGTCCTCATGTCCCACCTGTCCATCCCCATGTCCCACCTGTCCATCCCCATGTCCCATGCCCTTACCTGTCCGTCCCCGATTCCTTGTGTCCCGTGTCCTTGCCCGTCCATCCCCGTGTCTCACCTGTCCCTGCCGCTGTCCCTGTGTCCCCAGAGGTGACAGTGCCCTCCGTGGGGGTGCGCCCGACGTCGCAGCCCCAGCCCCAGCCGTACCACTACGTGCTGCGGGACACGGAGCAGCAGGGGCTGTGCCTGCGCGACGGCCGCCTGGTGGCCACCAGCCTGCAGGTGGCCAACGCCGCCCAGGAAGGTGGGTGACACTCGGGGGACAGCGGTGACACGGCAGGGGTGACACCCGGGGGGGTGACAATCCGTGGGTGACGCCTGGGGGGTGGACAGGGGGGACAATCCATGGGTGACACCCTGGGGGGACAGGGGGGACAATCCATGGGTGACACTGCCAATGGGTGACAATCCATGGGTGTCCCTCTGGTGGCCACCAGCCTGCAGGTGGCCAATGCCACCCTGGAAGGTGGGTGACACCCGGGGGGGTGACAATCCATGGGTGACAATCCATGGGTGAAACCTGGGGGGACAGGGGTGACAATCCATGGGTGACACCTGGGGGGAGAGGGGTGACAGTCCATGGATGTCCCTCAAGGAGGACAGGGGTGACAATCCATGGGGGCACAGCGGTGACACCCCGTGTCCCACAGAGCCCATCAGCGTTGTCCCCAACCGGCACCTGGAGCGCCGGCGCTGTCCCCTCATCGTGGGCATCCGCGGTGGCACCCGCGCCCTGTCCTGCGGCACCGGCCCCGAGCCCCGGCTGAGCCTGGAGGTGACATGGGGACACGGGGGTGGCACGGGGGACATGGGGGACTCAATGTGGGGCTGTGGGGACACAAAGGTGGGACAGGCCAAGGTGGGACAGCTTGAGATGGGTCAAGGCAAGGTGGGTCAACCCAAGTTGGGTTCAACTCAAGGTGGGCAACCCAAGGTTGGTCAACACAAGTTGGGTCAATCCAAGGTGGACAATCTTAGGTGGGTCAGTCCAGGTGGACAATCCAAGGTGGTCAGTCCAGGTGGGTCAGTCAAGGTGGACAATCCAAGGTGGTCAGTCCAGGTGGGTCAACTCAAGGTTGGTCAACACAAGTTGGGTCAATCCAAGGTGGTCAGTCTTAGGTGGGTCAATCAAGGTGGGGACATCCAGAGGTGGCTGGGACCCAAAGTTGGGTCAGTCAAGGTGGTCAATCCAAGGTGGGTCAACCCAAGGTGGGTCAGCTCAATTTGGGTCAATCCAGGTGGGTCAATCAAGGTGGATCAACAACTCAAGGTGGGTCAGCTCAAAGTGGGGACGCCCTGGGGTGGCGGGGACCCAAAAATGGCTCAGCTCAAGGTGGGTGAGCCAAGGTGAGGTGAAGGCACCCAGAGATGGGTCAGCCCAAGGTGGGCCAGCCCAAGGTGGGGAGCCCAAGGTGGACATCCTGGGAAGGGCCATCCCAAGGTGTGGTGGGCACCCAGGGCTGGGTCAGCCCAAGGTGGGGCACCCGGGAGTGGCGTCATCCCAAAGCGGTGTCACCTGGAGGCGGGGCCACCAGGAAGTGGGGATTCCCCAGGGTGGGGTGATGATGGCATCACCTGGGGGTGTGGTCACCTGGGGGTGTGGTCCTGATGTTGTTGGCATCTGGAGATGGGGGTTCCTTGAGGTGGGGTCACCTGGGCATGGCGTCACCAGGAGGTGGGGTCAGCTGGAGATGGGATCACCTGGAGCTGGGGTCACCTGGGCATGGTGTCACCTGGAGTTGGGGTCACCTGGAAATTGGGTCTGTGTGGGTTCCTCGAGGTGGTGCCACGGCTGTCCCCCATGCCGCTGCTGTCACCATTTGGTGCCACCATTTTGTGTCCCCTGCCCGGCAGGACGTGGGGCTGCTGGAGCTGTTCTCGGGTGACAAGGACAGGGCCACGCCCTTCACCTTCTACAAGACCTTTGGGGGCTCCACGCACACCTTCGAGGCCGCCGCCTTCCCCGGGCTCTTCCTCAGCACGGCCACGGGCCCGGACGAGCCGCTGGGCCTGGCACCGCCCCCGAGCGCCACCGCCTTCTACCTGCGCCGCAAGTGACACCTGGGGACATCTGGGATTGGGGACATTCATCACTGCCACCGCCTTCTACCTGCGCCGCAAGTGACACCTGGGGACATCTGGGATTGGGGACATTCATCACTGCCACCGCCTTCCACCTGCGCCGCAAGTGACACCTGGGGACATCTGGGATTGGGGACATCCCCGAGCGCCACTGCCTTCTACCTGTGCCACAAGTGACACCTGGGGACGTCCCTGGTGCCACCACCGCCTTCCACCTGCGCTGCAAGTGACACCTGGGGACGTCCCTGGTGCCACCACCGCCTTCTATCTGCGCCGCAAGTGACACCTGGGGACATCTGGGATTGGGGACATTCATCACTGCCACCGCCTTCTACCTGCGCCGCAAGTGACACCTGGGGACGTCCCTGGTGCCACCACCGCCTTCTACCTGTGCCACAAGTGACACCTGGGGACATCCATGGTGGGGACATCTGGGATTGGGGACATCCATGGTGCCACCACGGCCTTCCGCCTGCGCCGCAAGTGACACCTGGGGACACCCATGGTGGGACATCCATGGTGGGATCAGAGCTCCCTTTTAAAGGTCAGGACCCTCCTTTTGGGGTCAGGACTCTTTTTTGGGGGTCAGGAGCCTCCATTTGGGGTTAGAACCCTCCTTTTGGGGTCAGGACCCTGCTTTTGGGGTAAGAACCGTTTTTTTTGGTGTCAGAACCATTTGGGAGTGAACCAAACCCTCCGGGAACCGCCCCAAAATCAACAGGAACCGCCCCAAAACCCGGCCCCAAAGCTGCTGGGAACTGCCCCAAAATCAACGGGAACCGCCCCAAACCTGCCCCAAAACTGCTGAGAATGCCCCCAAAACCACGGAGAATCCCCCAAAACTGCCGGGAATTGCCCCAAAACCACCAGGAATTGCCCCAAAACCACCCCGAACCTGCCCCCAGAACGGGGCCTAAACTGGTTCACCAGGGCTTCAAAATTTGGGATGAAAATTTGAGAATTTGACGCTGATTCCCAAAACCGGGCTTCAAAATTTGGGATAAAATAATGGGAAAATGGGGTTGAGTTCATTATTGGAATATCAGGCTTGAAAATTTGGGATAAAATTATTGGAAAATGGAGCTGAGTTCATTATTGGGGCATAAGGGCTTGAAAATTTGGGATGAAAATTTGGGAATTTGGGAATATCCGCCCCCCACTCCCAGCTGTGGGATTCAGCATCTCCTTCCCAAATATTTCCCCGATAAAAAACCCAAACCATGAATTTTTTTGAAAAAAAAAATAAATTGTTTTTACGTCACTTAAATAACTCTAACCCAGGTTTTTAGGATGGGAAAAAAAAATAAAAAATAAAAACCCCAAGACCAGGCAATGACAAGAACATCTTTATAGGAATCAAAATTAATTTAAACCAGGCGAAATAAATTAAAACATTAAATATTAACTTTCAGTGCAACATATACAGAAGACATGAGAGTAACCATGACTTTAAAAAAAAAAAAAAAACAAAACAAAAAACCCCAAAACAACCCCAAAAACAACCCCAAAACAGAGGGAAAAGCTCTGGGTTGGTTACTAAGGGGGAATTAAGGCTGTGCCTCCAGCCCGAGGAGGTTTCCTGGGATTTAAATTCATTTATTATTAATAAAAAGCTGGGATTTGTCCCCAAAAATGAGCCGGATTTGGGTTTTTTTGTTTTTTTCTGTAGAAAAATAAATCCCCATCCTGGCGGGGGTTTGGGTTAAAATCCCAAATATTTGGGTTTGAGAAACCCCGGGAAAACGACCCAAAAGTCGAGGGAGAACCCGGGGAAACGGCGGGAAAAGGGGAAAACGCCCCAAAAAGGATCCGAAGAGGGGGAGGGGACGGTCCTGGGGGGGTCCCCAGGTGTCCCCAGGTGGTCCCGGGTCTGTCACACACCTGTGGGGACGGGAATGGCAGCGGTTACACACCAGGGTGTCACCTGTGTCCCCTCCCCTGTCCCAGCTGTCCCCCACCTCTCCCAGGTGTCCCCTCCCCTGTCCCAGTGTCCTCAGGTGTCCCCCACCTGTCCCAGGTGTCCCAAGGTATCCCATGGATGTCCCCAGGTGTCCCCAGATGTCCCCTGTGTCCCTCACCTGTCTCACTGTGGCAGCAGGACGTGCCCCCCACCCCAGGTGTCCCTCCCCTGTCCCATGGATGTCCCCACGTGTCCCAGGTGTCCCGTCACCTGTCCCAAGTGTCCCCTGTGTCCCAGGTGTCCCCCACCTCTCCCAGGTGTCCCCCAGATATCCCAAGGATGTCCCCAGGTGTCCCCAGGTGTCCCCCACCTGTCCCAGGTGTCCCTCCCCTGTCCCATGGATGTCCCCAGGTGTCCCAGGTGTCCCCTCACCGGTCCCAAGTGTCCCCTGTGTCCCAGGTGTCCCCCACCTCTCCCAGGTGTCCCCCAGATATCCCAAGGATGTCCCCAGGTGTCCCCTGTGTCCCCCACCTGTCCCACCTGTCCCAGGTGTCCCTCCCCTGTCCCATGGATGTCCCCAGGTGTCCCCTGTGTCCCTCACCTGTCTCACTGTGGCAGAAGGAGGTGTCCCCCACCCCAGGTGTCCCCAGGTGTCCCTCCCCTGTCCCATGGATGTCCCCAGGTGTCCCTCACCTGTCTCGCTGTGGCAGCAGGACGCTCCCCCCTTGAGGAGCCCCCCCGGTTTCTCGGGGCCGGCTCCGGGCTCGCGGCACCAGCCAGGACAGGGACAGGGCCAGGGCCAGCGCTTCCGCAGGCGACAGCAGCTGGGGACAGCAATGGGGACATGGGGACACAGGGAATGGGGACGGGGACAGGGAATGGGGACACAGGGACCGGGTCAGAGACGGGGTCAGGGACAGGGAATGGGGACGAGGACACAGGGATGGGGTTGGAGATGGGGTTGGGGACAGGGACAGGGAATGGGGACAGGGATGGGGACACGGGAAATGGGGACAGAGGGACAGGGAATGGAGACAGGAACCGGGTTGGAGATAGTACTGGGGACAGGGACAGGGTCAGGGATATGGAACGGGGACAGGGACGGGGACAGGGAATGGGAAGGGGACAAGGAATGAGGACAGGGACACAGGGATGGGGAGAGGGATGGGGATAGGGGACAGGGACAGGGTCAGGGATACGGAACGGGGACAGGGATGGGGACAGGGAACGGGGACAGGGAATGGGATGGGGATGAGGAATGGGGACAGGGACACAGGGATGGGGAGAGGGATGGGGATAGGGAACGGGGACAGGGACGGGGTCGGAGTCCCTTGTCCCGGGCTGTCCCCAGGAAGTCCCCAGTGGCACTCACTGGACCAGGACGCAGACGGTGACGAGCAGGGCCGAGGCCACCACGGCCACCACGAGCAGGGCTGTGATGGTTTGCTTCTTCTGGGTGGCTGCCACCACGGCCAGCAGGTCAGCGTGCTCACAGCGCGTCCCCACGTACCCCGAGTGACACCTGGGGACACAGAACAGGTCAGCCTGAAGTTTTGGGATCACTGGAACCCCAAACCCAGAGTTTTGGGGTCTCCCCAGCACAGTAACCCCACAGTTTAGGGTTAGGGGATTTAGGCACTCACACACGGGTTTCTCCTGCCCCCACAGTTTCAGGGTTAGGGGATTTAGGCACTCACACACAGGTGGGTTTCTCCTCCTGATCCCATAGTTTTGAGGGATGTGACCCCACAGTTTTGGGTTAGGGGATTTAGGCACTCACACAAGATTCTCTTGCCCCCGTAATTTCGGGGTTAGGGGATTTAGGCACTCACACACAGGTTTCTCCTGACCCTACAGTTTTGGGGTTAGGGGATTTAGGCACTCACACACAGATTCTCTTGCCCCCACAGTTTCAGGGTTAGGGGATTTAGGCACTCACACACAGATTCTCTTGCCCCCACAGTTTTGGGGTTAGGGGATTTAGGCACTCACACGCAGGCGGGTTTCTCCTCCTGATCCCATAGTTTTGAGGGATGTGACCCCACAGTTCAGGGTTAGGGGATTTAGGCACTCACACACAGGTTTCTCCTGACCCCACAGTTTCGGGGTTAGGGGATTTAGGCACTCACACGCAGGTTCTCTTGCCCCAATAATTTCGGGGTTATGGGATTTAGGCACTCACACGCAGGCAGGTTTCTCCTCCTGCACCAGGAAGCGGCAGGTGCCGTGGAAGCAGAACTGCCGGTGCGAGTCGGGGCACTCGTTGAAGTGCGACCTCACCGCCGCCGCCACCGGGGCTGGGGGAAAACGAGGAGAGAAAAGGGGATTTTGGGGAAAATCCTCCCAAAAAAAAAAATGGGGGAGCAGCCCCCAGGAGGGGTTGGGGATAGAGGAAAGGGGTGGCAGCAGCCTCGGGGTGACAGGAGGGACACGGGGCTGGGCTCCCTCCCACCCCAAAAGGAGATTTCCCATTCCAAAAGATTTCGCATCCCAAAAGGAGGTGTCCCATCCTAAAAGGAGCGTTCCTACCCCAAAAGGAGTTTTCCCACCCCAAAAGGAGATTTCCCACCCCCAAAATGAGTTTTGCCCATCCTAAAAGGAGATTTCCCATCCCAAAAGCTTTTCCCACCCCAAAAGATTTCCCAGCCTCAAAAGGAGATTTTCCCCCACCCCAAAAGATTTTTCCACTCCAAAAGGGAGATTTCCTAGCCCCAAAAGATGTCTCAGCCCCAAAAGGAGTTTTTTCCCACCCCAAAAGCAGATTTCCCACCCCAAAAGCAGGTTTCCCATTTCTCATCCCAAAAGGATTTTTCCCACCCCAAAGGGAGATTTCCCATCCCAAGGGCAAGCAGGGCTGCTTTAGGGTTTATTTTGGGATCTCTGCGCAGCCACCCCAAAGATCCCAGCTGGGTCCTGCCTCAATAATCCCTCAGGAATTTCCTAAAGAGCTCAGAAGGGAGGAGGAGGAGGAGGAGGAGGAGGAGGAGGGAGCCCAGCCCCGCTCCTGTTTCCCATTAAACCCCATTAAACCCCCCTGGTTTGAATTATCCCCGGGAGGGAATTTCCTGCTGGGATT